TTGCTCGACATGTCCACCGCATACAATATTCCTTAGAACCGAGTATTGACTGTGGCTCATATAGGGATTATGTGGGACTTCTGTGGCAAGCATTTAGGGAGTATGTAAGGTTTGCGAATGTCAGCCTAAATGTTGAATGATAGACGGACAAGAAACTTTGAACATGAATTGGAATTGCTTTGAAGGTTCATGGGCAGTCATAGCTGGGGTTCTACTTAATCTAAGTAGCGTTACAACCAAATTTCTATTCATAACTGCTATCACAGCTTAAACCCTCAAGTGCAGGCAAGGTTCCATGCACATTGTGTACGTGGCAGCAAGGCACATTTCTTCAAGGTCCATTGCATGAAGTGCTTGCCGTAACCGCGGCCACGGCTCCTGCCAATCATGTGGGCTGCGGCGGCAGCAGGATGGTGAAGGGAATGTGTAACAAGCGTTGCAGTGATGTTCGTGGCAATACTAGATAAACAGTTACCATAGCCATAGTCATAGTCAAGGTTAGAAGCAATTGTACATTGCGAAGTACTGTACCACATCACACCTGAACATAGCGCTACTGACAATGGCGATGGTGGCGGTTTCACTCCTCAATTCAAGAAACCCTGCAGGAATCACGTCAGCAAGCAAACGCAGATAAAGCGACATTCCTATGAATATTTTCATGTTCATGATATTCTAGTATCCTCAAAATCGCAGGGCCAATAACCAAGAGCAATCATAACCACCCCCCAGGAGAACCGTACATGATTCGGCACCTTGCCACCACGGCAATGCGAGCGACATGGAACTCGGAGCTCTTGGTGCTGAGGTGATAGCAAATGAAGCCACAAAACTTCTTGGACTCAGACTCTGTGTCCACCAGAAGGGACAGTGTCCACCCTGGGCATGGAGTTAGTGGCAGCTTCTCTTCGGTAGCCGCCCCAGACCCATAGACAACAAGCCTAAGGAGACCCCAATCTTCTACTTGGATTAAGGCATCAAATCAAATCTACACCCAAGTCCCGCATTTTTGTGCACATGTCGGAACTGCAAAGTAGACAATTGCAAAGTGCCGGAAAGCATTCTGCCCGAAGACCCCCTTCAGCCCACCCTTAAACAAAACCGGCCGCAGAACCACCCTCAAAATTTTTAATTTTGGCTTGTTCTTAAGATTCAAAAAACCAACAATTTAAAAAATTGGAGGCCCATATAGTCAACTCCCCTGAACCCTCTCCCCCTGAAGTTCCCCCTTGATGCACATCCAACACCAGTTGGCCTCGATCGGCAGCTTTCTGGACACTGTCCTCTCCTGGGTGCTGCTTAGGAGCTCACATTCAGAGGGTTTAGGGTTTAGGGTTGAGGGTTTAGGGTTTAGGGTTTAGGGGGATTATATGGGATGAGATAGGGATAGATGGGGTTTAGGGTTTAGGGGTTCCCCAAAATTAGGGGGATTGCAGTTATCAAGAAACCATCGCTGTTACCATATAGCCATATCCCGGAAAAAACACACCCAATTTCCATGTCATGCTCCTTTGTCTTGTCTATTCTATTCTCCACTATCCGGATAAATTCCTCAAACCCTATATAATCCTAAAACTAACCCTATGTATACTCTAAACCCTAAACCCTGTACATGGCGATATGGCAGCAGCCCAGTCTCCGAAGAAGGCCTCCTTCGAGAGAGTGCGGACCTCTTGCAGCATGGCCTTGACCTCTTCGTCTGCGTCCTCTTCCCTCAGCACACTGGATCAATTAAATCCTGAATCTTAAACCCTACCTGAGCCCCGAAAATATGTAGAAGAATGTGAATAATGGCCTTTTGGGCTATTTCTAGGGGTTACTATTTTACCTACTTGTGGGGTCCAGGTAAACCCTAATCTACTATACCCCTTACGAGAGCGACTCCGTACGTTCCCCTTCATGTGGGGCCATTGAAGGAAAATTGGGCTAACTAAGGTTAACTGAGGGAACCTCAGGGGGTAGTATAAACGGGGGTGATTAGGCAACCCATAGAAACAGGATGATGCCATTTGACAACGTGGGAAAAAAGAAGCAGTCATTTTCAGGGTTTGGGGTATAGGGTGCAAGGTTATGTTGGGGGGGTTAAATAGGAGATAGTTGCCAAAACATTATAGCGAATCAAATGGAAATGAACATGGAAAATGCTGGAAACTGAATTTATGTGGGGTTTATAGGGCGTGTAGTTGCACAAATAATTCCCAACATCCTTTTGAGGCTACTTGAAGTACCCTATACTATCACTAGAAAAGGAAGCTGGGACCATACTCCATAAACCCTAAACTCTAAACCTTGTTTGGGCTTCTGCTTAGGCCGAAGACGACAGGGCCATGTGATGGGACTATGATTAGAGGTTGACTGGCCTTCCAGAAGAACCCTAAGCCCTGAAAACCCTAAACACCCCAAACCCTAACGATCCTACGGCCTACAAACCATGAAAGCCCTGGAAACCCGAAACCCATCTAAACCCTAGATCCTAGAAACCTAAGCCCAAAAAATCCTAAACCCTAAACACCCTACACACACACAAAAAATGAATACCTTAAACACGGAAAAACAACTTGCTAAAAACCCTAAACCATCTGAACCCTAGATCTGCAATCTGCAGCCCCAACAGCCGAGGTAGGGGACCTTGCGAGCCTCTGAAATCATCTTGACGCCTAAGCGCTAAGCCTTGAAATTCTAGCCCATTAATGGGTTTAGGGTTTTAGGATTTTAGGGTTTCCGGTTTTAGGTGTGAGGGCTTTAGGATTGTTGTTTAGGTTTGTAGGGTCTCAAAAAATGGGGATATACTGGGATAATGGAGAAGAAAATGGACACTACTATTTAGGGTGCAGGGTTTCGGCACCCGTTCAGTCATACTTAGCGTAAGATAGCAATATGCAGAAACCCTACTAGAATTAGCATTGGCGCAGTCACTAGTGGTGGGTGGAGGCTCCGCCTGAACTAACGAAACCTAACGAAAAGGAAAACTATTACTGTACCCTAGGGACCCAAATAGCCCAATGTAGGTAAGACTTTGGGGCCCAATGTAGGAATTAATACTTGGATCCCTAGGGGTAGTATAACGCTAAACCCTAAACCCAAAACCATTCTGGTCTCTGCTTGTTGCGACCAGGCCGCTTGATATCGTCCAACACCATCAGGTCTTGCTTTAGGGGCTCCTGAAGGCAGGGTCAAGTCAAATTAGGTATGTGGAGTTTTAAGCGTTTAGGGTTTAGGGTTTGGAGGTTGGGATGTTAAAATGACAATAGGTTTTTTTACGGATAATGGAAAAGAACATGGAAACTACTACATTATGATAGGGTGTGTATAGATACATATGATATATATATATATATATAATCCCCATTCTACCATGTGGGCTTACAAACTCTGCCAAGTATGTTGCGTAATGATACGCTCACTTACATAAGAGTCCTGCAAACATGTTTTGGAGAATCAAGCTCTCCGTACACACAGCAAAAACACGCCCACCCCGACAGACCCCAATGTGATGTCTGCGCATCCCTGCATGCCTTCTGTAACTCTTGCCCAAAGGATGCATTTCAAACTATCCCATACACCGAAAAACTTTGAGGTCCGCTTTGGGAAGCCATAGAACAAGGATTCTAATGTCTTGAGGTCTGAAATGGGTTCCCCTTGTGTCTGGAAACTATATACCATGTACACACAAACTCGGCAAATGTTACTAAACTGACAGACAAGCTCCTGCCACAGCCAGCCAGCCGCATTACGCCAGCAAACAGGACAAAGTGACTTCACCGATTCATCCTCCTCCAGGGAGTGAGGGCACTTGAAGGTTCATGGGTAGGAACCCCCATTCTGATAGCAACCCTCAAGTACGACTGGCGAGCACCCCATGCCTGTAAAACATGAAAGCCCAGGCACTATTGCACCTAAGCAACGCTAGGGTCCCGCAGCCCTAAACCCTAAGCCCTAGACCAACCCTAAATGAAGTGAATTCCACTACAATGTCACTACAAGTATGGATCAAGGTCACGACTAGTATTGGTGACAGCTCGCACTCCCTAGGGCTACAGCCAGATGAGCTATAGTCTAAACTCCTTGAAGGGGGATATAAGGGATTATATAGGGGACTACTATAGGGGATATTAAGGGGGATACTAGGAGTTTAGACAGTAGCTCAAATGGACAACTGGCATACAAGTAGGTAGCTTAACTATATTCCTTCTCGGGCCCTAAGCCCTAAGCCCTAAACCGAAAAACTCAAGAGTGATTCAGAGACTAGGCTTCGGATTAAGTGCTAATGCAGAACATGAGTTGGAAATTGACCACCCCCAATATATAGGATATTACCCCAATACTAGAGGCAAAGGGAAAATCCCATGAATATGAAATGAAAACTGGGCGTTGAACTTGCTCCAAAAATAGAAGCACCGGCAGTAATTTCATAATTGTTGTGTTGAGCATCTTTCTCAATATCATGACTACTAGAGCTATGACTGATATTGATAATTGTCCGATTCGTGTTCATGATACCCACATTTGGCATTACCTTCGCAACTGCTAGTGCTTGATGCTTTCATTTGCCAGAGATCCCTATGCAAATCAGAAGTAGAACCAATAAACTCCTCAAAATCTCCGGCCTGTACATCCTTGGGCAATCAAACTTTTCCCGGTACCCCTTGTCTGAAAACAAACAGGTCAGTGCAGGCAGCTAGCAGCGCAGCCTTCTTAACCACTGTTCATAGTCACGGACTGATCCATCCTGCAAAGGTATCGCCTAGGGCCCGCCTATACAAGGACCTAAAGCCTAAACCCTAGAACTCGAGCGATACGCCTGATTACTTATGGGGGAAACGCCTGTGCCCCAAATCGGGATTTAGGGTTTGGGGTTTCATCAACAGAAGCACTTTGGGGTTAGACAAGGTCATAAGCAGTTAATAGATTATACAGGGTTATATACGGATTCTATGCTAATTCTACACACAACTAGGAGGAATCCAATACAGCCCCCAAACCCTTTGGTCCCTGTTCAGAAGGGACCCCTACTCTTTGGAACCTCCATAGAAGAATCAGATTTTACTGATCATACACTTCCGTTTCGCCGCTGGCCCTTGAATCCTAAACCCTAGACTGCCTCCTCTGCGGCAACTACCACTGCCCCGCGGAAACCACGCAAGGCCTCCAGCCATCAGAGAGAGCACGCACGTAGCTGGTAAAGCAAGTTGCTGAGGCTTGGGGTATTTTGGGCTGCGCAAGGTTATATCAAGATTATATAGGGGGTACACATGTATGTGCTTGTATATATGTATATATGTGGGGTTTTGGGTTAAGCTTTTAAAAGACGAAGAATCGAATGGATAGTCAGGCAGAAAGAATGAAATGGAGGCCGGGGCGTTACAGGGTTAAGCAACTTAACTTAACGGACTTGATCTGTGAACCTTGACTGCAACCCATTCACGCAGCTGAGAACTCCCCCTATTCCCCACAGAGAATACGAGAACTATGCTTCGCGTGTGTCTTACTCTAGGCAGGACCAGAAGTTCCATTGAGACAGCCCTGTATCATCTTGCAAACAGAGAGTCCCACCTCCTCTTAATGAGGCACCATCAACCCTAGTCATAAACGTTCCCAACAAACCGCCAGCTGTCGGTAAGGGGAACATCTGGTGTCGTTTGTTCAGGCGTGGGGATCTCATAGCTGAATGCTGACTAAATGCTCCGTGTTGCGCGCGCAAACTATAATCCTCTGCCTCAAAAGCATCTTCATGCATCCAGTGCTTAGTATGAAAGGTCGTCTACTTGATGCAGAATTGAACTGAACAGCCCCGAACCCCGCAAAGGACCCAAGAAACTGACGCCATGGCTACATTGGGGAAACTTGGTGCTGAGTTACCATTCTACACTCCCCCCAGACAAACATGGAAGCCGAAAAAGGGCCTTCAAAGACTACTCTTCTTTGGGAAGGGGACCATATCAGCTTTCCATGTTTCTTTGGGAGAGGGTGGGTGTCCAGCATCTAGATTCTAGATCCCGTAGGTTTTCTCTGGGGTTAGCGTCTGCGGTTCTACTGGGCTTGATACTGTCCTTAAAGGTTAAAGGATAAGCACCCCTATATAATCCCAGCTTCCATTTCATCTTCCATTTTCTTTTCCATTTGATTCTCCGTTATTGGGTACCATAGTATCCCCAAATAAAATACTACTCAACCCTAAACCCTAAACTCTAATCCCTAAACCCTATATAACCCCCTAAACTTACCATATGTTGATACCATAGTATCCCCAAATAAAATACTAAGTGGCCACGCCTCAAGGAGCTGTGAGGAAGCCTTCTCCCACTCTGGGCCGCCCCAGGTCTCGAGGACGACGACCTGAGGCCTCCAGAAGGTCCCCTTTCAAAAGTATCCACGCAGTTTAGGGTTTAGGGTTGTTTTCGGCAAGTGGCGTTTACGGCTTAGGGATTGGGATTGTGGGATTGGGGATGGGGGCTTAGGGTTTCAGGGGATAGGGTTCAGGCATTGGGGTTTGGGGTAAATGATAGGGTTTGTGGCCCTTAGCCTCAGACTGAGACCCGAAACCACCTTTGGGCCTAAGGACCCTGTGGAAAGGAGATGACCCGCACTCCTTGTAAAAGTGTATAGAAAATCATTTTTCGAAAAATATGCACTGGTACGCTAAAGTTGGCATAGATGAGCAGCAATACAATTCATGCTCGACAGCTGCGTCTTCTGCCAGAGAACTCTCATGCGCATTGATCGTCCAAACTGCTGATGCTAAGGTTAGGGCAACAGGCTGTGCTGAAGGAAAGGGAGCGGCCGACAATCGAAATCTCTGTGTACCCTAATGTTGCTGCGCAAGGAACTTTAGAGGCTGTAAGCCAGCAGCACGAACCCCAAATATCCTGTGAAACCTTAGAATCCCTAGAATCCCCACAACCTTACAACAGTTAACCGACCATGACACCTTAAACACCTGTGATGTGCGCCTCCTCGGCATGTCATTTGAAGGGGAGATTCCTGAACCAATGGATGGGTTCAGGGCTTAGGGCCCAGAACTTGCCATGTGCCTGTTCAGGCGCAGATCGGTTGTACACTTCTGGCGACTACCTCGCCTGCAATCCTTGAACCCTCAAACTCTGCCACACTCCGACCACAGGACCGCTTCTTGCGGAGTACTATTGCCAGTAGCTCATATGAGCTATAATCTAAACTCCTAGTGCTCGCCTTATTAACCCCTATGATACTCCTCTATATAACCCCCTTTAAGGAAGTTGAGACTATAGCCCTTATTGGGAGTCCCTCGAAGAACGCAACAATCCCATAATTCCCTGCCTCCTCTTCAGACAAACAACCAGGACCCAACGCCTACAGTAAAAGCCGCATCTCCCCACAGGCCCTCACTCCTAAAGGGTGAAAGGGCGCGATAAACCCTAAACCCTAAAACCCTAAAACCATAGACCCTGAAACCCTTAAACCCTAAAATCCAAAACCCTAAACTCCTTTGTTACGGGCACGCCTCTGCTCATTGAGCTCCGAAGCAGCCCTTTCGAAGTGCTCTGCTTCTGAGGCCTCTCCAGGCAGGCTCCCTGGAAGGTGGGTGTGTTTTGGATAGAGTTCAGGGTTTATGGGTGTTAGGTCTGAGTAATATTCATACTACCCTAAACCCTAAACCCTATACCCCAAACCCTAAACCCTAAACCCTAAATCCTAAACCCTAAACTCTATACCCTATAAACCCTAAACCCTCAAAACCCTATCTAAGGCCTGACAGAGGAGACCTCCGGTTGGAAATCCCCAGGGACTTGAAGCCAACAGCATTGAATCCTAACTTCCCTAAACTTACTGAGGGTTTAGGGTTTAGGGTCTAGGGTTTAGGGTTCAGGGTTTAGGGTTAGTAGGGAAGAAACGAACAGATTATATGAGCTGTAGTCGAACTCCGTATCCCCCTTAATAAGCCCCTATAATTCTCCCCGATGTAATCCCCTATATAACCCCCTTTGACGAGTTTAGACTACAGCTCATGTCGGAATTACATGGGGGGCATATTCCCAGATTCCCTGCTCACCCCCAGTAAGTAAAGCCATGAATTCTCAAACCCGTGAAGACCCAAATCCACAAAACCTTCAATTCAAAAACCTTACGTCGCTTAAGTCTCAAACCTCGAAACGTTTACCCCCGTGAGTCTATCTTAGTTATACTTCAAAGTCCATGGTACATGGTAGCTAGTTATAACTCGGCGCATAATCCGACATATAGTCTCCCCAAGTGGGCCTATGAAGAGAACACCAGACATGTCCAGTTATGATAAGGGTATAAGCCCGGAATAGCCCGGATACAGGTAGATACTTTGTCCCATTATGCTTTAAGTCTTCAACCCTCAACTCCGCCAAACCCCAGAAAGAAATCCTAAGCTATAACCCGCAAAGCCGTAAGCTCCTAAAACCTTACATCCTAACCGTACATCCTAAACCCTAAACCCCCAAATCAGCAAACCCTAAACCCCTAAACCCGAATCCCCTAATCCCCCAATCCCATCCTCAAGCCCGAGCCTCTTCCCCGGCCAGGTGCTCACCCAGCCGGGCTACAGCAAGGCCCTCGTGGCGCTGTACCTCACACCCTATCTGACCATATGAGCTATAGTCTAAACTCCTTCAAAAAGGTTATATGGGGGATTATATAGGGGACTACTACAAGGGTTATTAGGGGGGATACTAGGAGTTTAGACTATAGCTCATATACGGCCCTAAATGACCCTGTATAAGCCTATATAACTCTATATACAAGCCTATATTCTCACCCTATATGAGCCATAGTCTAAACACCTAGTATCCCCCTTTGAACGTACCCCTTATATGACACCCTTTGCAAGGAGTTGGGAGTATAGTACAATAACAGCAGGGGCCTCATCAGGGGCCGGCCGGTCCATCAAAAGGTTATAACGACGTATTGGCTGGGTTTCTGAGGTTCTGGGTTTGGGGTTGTAAAAGTTTCTCAAGACAGGTGGCGGCATAAACATGTATGCTTGCGTGCATTGTGTTGATTAGTTTCGTATGGGTGTTTTTGGTTGTTCGCTTCTTCGAAGTAATCTTGAAACTCATGTAATGCAGCAGGTCTTCCGGTTCAGGGTAGAAGGACAACGAATGATGACGACAGAGTTGACAGTAGCAGGCGCTGCCATGCGTGGGACAGTCGGAAAGAGAAACCAACAGTAGTGACAACGTATATCAGCAATCGTAGGGACAAATCACATTAATAGTAGGACCAGTAACTAGAGGAAGGCTGACAACCACAACGCAATTGTGCATGTCGTAATTGATAAGAACCATGTCAAGAGCTGAACTGGCAGTCATGACAGCGACCATCATCAATATTGGGGGGGGGTTCCCATGGACAGGGGCCTTAATATAGGCCCTAAAAGACCAAAACCCTGTTTATGAGCACTCCCACAACGGGCTCCCTCAGTTTGGAAACCTCCACATAGGCAGAGTCATGCATCCACCAGGTAAAAACTACTTGAGGGGACTTATGGCTTGAGGAGTGGGGCGCAGGGGCCCAGAGCGCCTCGTCTCAATTAACTCAACTAGGCCCGTCGTGGATCCGCTAAAGTGGTGATATAGAAGACATGACTTCCTGGTTCTGAGTAGGGAACAAGGGAGTGCCATCCCGATATAGTATCTTCCCATATTCCCTACTGAGAACCAGTAAGATTGTAAGACCATTCGCAAACCTTTTTTCGACCCGTTCCTCCAAATGAGGCCGGGTCACCTTGCCGCCCTTCAGCGACAGCTGTCCTAGCAGAAGTTGCATGGCAACTTCACCGCCTGGTCCCAAGGCAGCCACGCGGCTCTCGAGCGTGAGCTTGAGGCCTTGGCATGGGATTGTCGCCTTTGTTCCTCGTCCTCGTCCACCTCCTAACCTCTACTCTTCTCATATATCGGATTAGTTTGTACTTCATGATTGTTGCTGGATTCGTTAAAACTCTATTTGCCCTTGCCGCAGCTGCCGCACCACCGCCACCGCGCCGCCGCCACGGCCGCCTCCGCCACCGCCACTGCCACCGCCGCCACCGCCGGCAACACCGCCACCACCACTGCGCCAGCACCAGAGTGCCACCGCGCCGCCGCCACCACCGCTGCCACCACCAGCGCCGCCGCCGCCACCACCACCACCACCACCACCACCACCATCATCATCACAACTGCCGCTACAGTCACAACCCTTCCTGATTCTGTTTCACTCGTGTTGGTGCTACTCCTCTTACTCCTACGCCTGCGCCTACTTCTCAAGCCTGCTGCTACTGCTACTCCTCCTAAATTCCTTCTACTTGTACTTCTTTACTTCTACTTCTATTTTCACTACTCCTACTCCTTCTACGTCTTCTGTTGCTACTGCACTAGTACTACTTCTGCACTTACTAATCCTGCTTCGACTACTTCTTGGACTTTTTTTGCATTTTGCCAATGCGCCGCTCAGTCGTGCTTTAGATGTCCCAGAGAATTTCAAAGCTGAGACTTTTGGCTAGGAAAGTCCTTTCAGGTGAAGATGGATAGATACGGGTTATGAGGGTTCCAAAAGTCTGTATGGGTAGGGATTTTAAGGGTGATCATGTAGAGTTTAAGGATATTACCCCCAACAATGAAGGACGAGCCTTGAAAAGAAGATGGGACGTAAAATCGACACTGGGATTATAGAGTGGTTTCTTGGCATGAGGGCTTATATGTTATGCTGTCAAAATTATGGTCCTTATTCGGGTTCCCATGTGAATACGGCCCCTAGTATATCGAGTACCAAAACAGGGCTCATACTTTTGACAACCGTGCATGTCCTGAAAATAAAGTATTTCCGAAATCGCGTGGGCTGGCTGTAGGCCCGAGTATTGCTGTAGCTTAATTGTGGAGCCCATGATTTTAACAATACTATCCGTTTTAGACTCATCTCTGGGGGCCTGGCCGGACACGCGGTGCACACCACCAATGGCGCCATCCAAGGAGCCCAAGGCGATTTCAAAAATTGGACGCTTCCGTGATTTAACACCCGGAAGTTCACGGGGCGGTTGCCACATGTCCGAGGCAATTGTCATGACGCCCGCGACACTGTTCAGCGGATAGGCTTTGTGGTGCAAGCAAAATCAAGCCAGTCCGAAAAATCGGAACTGAGCCGGCGGAAGTGGAAAATGTCGGGACTTCCACCAGCTCACCGCAATCTAGCCAGTTGGTTCAAACCCACCCAGGGCTTGAGCCCAGAATGCGCAAGTCAGGTTGGATCACGCATGCACAGGACTTGCAGCATCCAATGCGCTGGAAAGAGAGCTTAAGCCTAAGCCGCCCTCTGCAGCAAGTTGTCATCCGCTTTGGGACATACTTTAAACTAAGTGTACAAGCCTACATAAGTATAGAGTCCGCATGCCGCAAGGTGATTACGCTCCCGCCTTTGCGCAAGACTTACCTGAAAATTGCCTTTGGGGCTATTTCTAGGGATTTAGGGCTATTATTTTACATACTTTTGGGGTTCAGGTACTTACAGGTGCTTAAAGCGGAGTTGGGGAGTTGATCCCTGGATGACCCCCTAGAATGGTGCTTGAATGTACTTGTACGCCCTCTCCCACCCCGCCCCCCCCTAGAATAAGCAACACGAAGGCCAGGCAGGAAGCCCTAGACGAAAAGTCCCAAACCTAATTCTTAACACCTGCTTCCAAAAAGTATGTAGAATGATGAGCCTTTTGACTAGTTTTCATGGGTTTTGGGCCATGATTTGACCTACCTCTGCGGTCCAGGCAGCAATTTGCATTTTTTCACCCGTAACCCGCAATCCTAAACCCTACCAAGCACCAGCAACCCCTAAACCCTAAACCCTAAACTGTCCGGAGGAAGGTCGCCTGAAGTGCGGATGCGTGCATCTTGCAGTGAGCATACAGCCCCCGACCTCGCAAGTGAAGCAATCTTGCTAGGACCATATGAGGGTTATATAGGGGTTACATAGGGTTTAGGGTTTGGGGTCCAGGGCAATATAGGGCTTATATAGGATTATACAAGACGGTATACGATCAGATAAGGCTTCTACTATAAAAGATTAGGTAGGAATAGATTGTATGAGGCGGCATCAATGGGACTCTTTGTCGTAGTCGCGAAATTCGAGTAGGGTGCCAGTATCACTCGTTCCACTCCTTGAACAACCACCCTAACCATTTTACAAGAGCGGCAATTTTGAGCGCAGCCCATACAGGGTTAGATAGGAGCTAATAGGGCTTTATTAGATTACACAAGGATTACATAAGAGTAAAGAAGATCCTGTACAAATGTAAATACAAATATACATATATTTATATGTGTGTTCTTGCTATTGTGATTTTATCGTTGTTTTTATTCTTACTATCATTATTACTATTGACTGTTGGTACTGTATAGGATTACGCAGGGCCAGCTAGGATTGAGAGATGTAAGCCCAAAATTGGAGAATCAAATGGAAGACAATAGGAAATGGACAATCACAACCGACACTGGGATAACCTAAACCCTAACGTACTACGTGCGCGGTCGGAGAACCTATGCCGC